ATCACTGCCTCTATCTCTGGTGTCATTGCTTCTTTGGACAGGGTCCCACATTCTGCTCATACTGTTCTCCCTTGATGATCCTAAGGTCCTCTGTTCCTGGACTGTAAGATTAACTACACCCCCCCTTTATGTTACAAAACTTCTACCTTTACAATTGTGGCAGTTGCCATTAATCATGATAACAGTTACTCACTACTGAATCATAAGAATCTTATCCTTATTTCCTTTCACCAGACCCATCTAGATAAGATGAAAACTATTCAGTGGGGATTCTACCTTTCCCCTCACAGTCTGATACTAAGCTCCCACTTGAAAACTTGTAAGCCAGGCACTTCATGCCTTTATAGCACCCACCACCACCCATTTTAGGTAGCCAATGTCTTAATTGCCCATCTCTATCAACCCTGTGTACAGAAGGGAAAGGATTGTTCCTTGATGTGAAGACTCCTTCCCTCTCAATTGGCTTTTTGAGCTATTACATCCATAAGTATAGGTCAAGTTCATCAAATTGTAGCAATTTACACTTGTTTCCTTTATCAAATGTCTTTATCTTCCTCTATTGGAGTTCTGATCATCAAGCCATCAAAGCTAGGTCGAATGGGTACTATCTGCAAGTTTTGGCCTTTTTATGCATCTCTCCTCACTTCATATTAACTGGACACTTCACTCTCAACTCTAGCCCTTTGTGGTTAGGTCCTTGTCCATGGTCTTAGGAGTCCTCATGTCTCACCACACTTCAGACCAACCAGCCCTTCCTCTTCTCTCTCTCATCTCCAGGTTGATGAGAGTCTATGTACTTCCATCTTCTTTTGATACTTTCTGTATCATTCAATACTTTGCCTGTAAAACCTATAAGTATTGCAAATGGAGGGTTGGATTTTTATTTCAGTTCCCTCAACTTGAAAAATGTTGAGTATGTTCTTTCATTTTGGTTTTCTAATATCAGGTCTTTGCACATATCATTACCTACAATACTTGACTTTTTTGAAACCTTTTGTTCATCTCCTCGTGTGTTTCACTTGCTTTAGCATCTCTAAGCTGGAGTGCAAATTTAAGAGTCTCTTCTGGCATCCATTTTGGTCTTTTCCTTCTTTCTTGTTTTCTTAGTGACTTTTTGTTTTCATCCTTGGTGTCATCCCATAACTTTTCTGGTCTTCAGTCATTAGTGCCTAATGCATCAGACATGTTTTTGAGATGATCTCTAAATTCATGTATGATTTGTTCAAGATCGTATTTTGGACCTCATGAACTTCTTTTTATTTTCTTCAGCTTCAGCCTGAACTTTCATATGAGCAATTGATCATCTATTCTACAGTCTGTCCCTGGTTTTGTTTTGGGTTATGGTATAGAGCTTTTCTATTGTCTCTTCCCTCAGATGTAGTCAATATTATTTTTGTGAACTCCATCTGGTAAGGTCCATGTGTATACTTGTCTTTTATGTTGTTTAAAAAAGATATATGCAATTAATGAGTCATTTGTATTACAGAACTCTATTATGTATTCTTCAGCATCATTTCTATCAACAAGACCATGCTTTCCAACCATTAATCCTTCCTTTTTGCTTCCAATATTTGCATTATATTTCCAGTAATTATCAGTACATCTTGATTTCATGTTTGATCAGTTTCAGAAAAAATTGGCAGAATTCTTCAATGTGATCATCACTAGTTTTATTGTTTGGTGCATAAATTTGAATAATAGTGATACTAACTGGTCTTTCCTATGTTGTCATTTAGTGCTGTCAAGTCTATTCCTACTCATAGCAACCCTGTGTAGGGGTTTTGAGGAGTGGTTAGTGAGTTTGAACTGCCGATCATGCAGTTCAAACTGACCTTGAGGTCCAGTGCTTATCCTACAGTGTCACATCAGGACTTCCCTTCTTCCTTATAGGAATATAGATATTATCCTATCACAGATAGCATTATACTTTCTTGATACACTGTATCAAGACAGTTGTTGAAATGTTCTTTTTATGATGAATGTGACACTGTTCCTCTTCAATTTGTCATACCTGTCATAGTAAACCATGTAATTGTCAGATTCAAAATGGGCAATACCAATCCATTTCAGCTCACTAATGCCTAGGATATCCATGTTATTTATTCCACTTCATTTCTGACAACGTTCCATTTTTCTAGATTCATACTTAATATATTCAGTATTCTCATTACTAATGGATGCTTACCACTGCCTCTCTTCATTTTATGTTGTGCACCATCAGCAAATGAAGGGCCTGAAAGCTTTGCTCCATTTGCGTCATCAGAGTCAACTATACCTTGAGGAGGCAGCTCTTCCCAGTCAACTTGAGGGGCTCATCTTCTGGCACTATATCTGATGCTATTTGTAATGTTTTAATATTCAATATTGTGGTGTTATCTCACAGGGTTCCACTGTTGTTTATAAGGTTTTTAGTGACTGAACATTCAGAAGTAGTCTTCCACTCCTTTCTAGTCTGTCTTAGCCTGGAAGCTTAGCTGAAAGCTATGCACATGAATGACCCTATTGTTATTTAAAATACTGGTGGCATAGTTTCCAGCATCAAAGCATCACACAAGCCACCACCACCATAAAACAAACTGACAAAAAATTGTAGCTATTTAGCGAAGTCAGCTCTAAATAAGACTTCTCTGTTATTTTCAGAAACGTTGAATAGGGGATCTATTCATCTGTGAGACATTTCATTCTTATAGTTGTGAAGGAATTCAGAAGCCATCTAGTTGATGTTTTTATAACAAGTCTTTGACTCATCTGAATAAATACATTTTCAATAGTTTATTTTCATGTAATACTAATTATATGGAAATGAATAATTTCTATTTCTAGTTCATAACAAGTTTTAGATTCTTTGTAGTAACCATTTTATAAAGGTTGAGGAGGAGTTCAGATTGTAGTGAATTGATGAAAATATTTCTGTATGACATGTGATATTATATTATTTTAGAGTGAGAAAAATAATATATTAATAGGGTAATATATAATATCCTTGGACTGCTAACTCTGCTAACCATATGTTGACAGTTCAAACACACCTAGTGCTCTTGGAAACCCTGTACAGGGTCACTATGAGTCAGATCTGACTTGATGGCACACAATAGCAGCAAAGAATTTCAGTCATTCAATTTATAAGAGTTGAATACAAAAGTTCAATAAAGAATTCTTAATTCTCTGATTAATTGATATGAAAATGATACATATTTTAAGGTAAAGTATTGCTACTCATAGAAAATATCATATGAAGGAATATGTCATTATGAATTTCTGATTTTACTAGGATGTGTTCTCGGATACAGTTATCATTCATTCAAATAAAATGAAATCAATGTTATGAAGAATTTATCACTCCTAGTTAAAATCTTCTCCAATTGTGATTGATCACATTCTTCTCCAGTAGACCTCACTAGAGGAGGCTGAGGTTGTGAGCACTTGCTATAATGAACAGATTCTACATGGCATGGAAGGGGGTATATTCTCCTGTATCTGCTATATATGAGGGCAAGTCAACAATTATTGCTAGAAAATCATAGAAACCTATATTAAAACAATCAAAATATGAAACTATTGTTTCTCAACATATCCTCTGTGTAGGTCTACACACTTTTCAAGGCAGTGTATCCATCTTTCTAACCCTGTCCTGAAGAATTATTTGCTTTTTAATTTATACCACATCAAAATGGCAGTTTGAGCATCTAGAAAGAATGCAAATTGTGTGGCTTTTTAATGATCTTTGAGTTTGGGGAATAAAAAACAGTTCGGAGGGAGAAGGTCAGGGCTATAGGGTGGATGGGGTAAGGTTTCCCAATGAAATTCTCTTAGGATAGCCCTTGCTATTTTATAATGAGTCCATGCTTGACTCTCCGGGCCTTGTTCTCACCAAAGCAATTTTCAATTTTCTTAAAAGTTCTTCTAACTTAGCCTCCTGACCATCCTGTGTCTTTCAAGAAAATCTGTCAAGATAAACCCTTTGAAATTCCAAAAACAGTTACCATAGTTTTCTGAGCTGACCTCTATGCCTCAAATTTACTTGCATTTGGACATTAATGATTTGAGTGGATCCTTTTGTTTTTCTGAAGATACTAAGATATCTTCTAAAAATTACAAGACAAATGTATTATTGAGGGAAATTCTCTACATCCATCCATCCACTGATTACAGAAAAAATTTTAGACACATTTTGTTTGGAATAAATGCATACATATGTGAATGGTAACTGTCAAAGTAATACTTTCTTTTAAACTTATTCTCATACATACTAAGTACAGAGGATGCATAGAAGTGACAGAAGACATAGAGATCCTAGGTATCATGAAGCTTATCCTCCAATGGAAATATAGAGAAGTAAACAGAAAAGTATTCAATAGGGAATTTACAAGAATCAATATGCACTGGAAACAAGGTCCAAGATTCGGGTCTACCAGCTACTACATGGGAGAAAGATAAGGCTTTCTGCTTCCAAGAAGATTTAAAGCCTTAGAAGCTTTACACAGAATTGCTATGAGTCAGAATCAACTTGAATGACTCTTAACAACAATATTTAATCAACACTGCAGTAGGAAGTTGTGAAGTTTGAAGAGATAGCAGTGTGGAGTAGTGCTCATCCAGAAGAATATTTAATTTTAGTCATAAATAAATCAAGTTTTACACATTCTATCTTATATCAAGTTTTATTTGTTGAATTTCATCATTAAATTCTAATATGTACATTACAATTATGTTTCTAATGTTGTTAGTTTTTAAAACATTCTTGTGTAATTTGATTTTGTTGTTTTTTTCCAACTAGAAATCCACAGGTAACAGAATTAGTTTTATTTTTAAATGTTGTATAATGAGTGATTTATAGGCTATTGCACACTTCTATGAGTATGAGTGGTTTATAAGCTATTGCACACTTACATGAGTAGGAATTAGCAGTGAGTTTTAACTACTGGATCTACTAAGTGAGCTATAGCATGGCTTTGCATCATGGAGTTTGTCTAACATAAAGTATCCTTGCTTTGGCTACATTAATCATCCTTCAAAAGGAATCTCTGTGTATTATTTCTTACAGTCTTTAGGAAATGCATGAGATCAGTGCCTCCAGTTCCTTTAGTTTCTGTTTCTGTGTCTTTGGCTGAATCTTCAGGTTTTTGTTGCTTTTGTGCAGGAATTATAATGTATTTAGTTACTACTTGCAAATGGTAGTTCCTCAGGTTCACCATAGCTTTCACACACTCATCATAAGCTGCCTGCAGGTCTTCGTCACCCTTTAAATATACAAACTCTCGGACTGATGGACGATTTTCTAGTGACTGAAGAAACTCTCTGTGAGCCTTTGGCATATATTGCCTCATTTCCTGGAGGAATTCATTAGCAAATTCTAAAAGAACAAGAGAAAATTGAATTGAGAGAGCAGGTAGGCCAAATTAAAACCCAAACCAAGGCAGTTGCTATCGTGTTGATTTGTTTTATGGACTAACCCATGTTTTCAGATTGGAACTGCTCCACATGGATTTTGTGGGTGTGACTCTTTGGAACACTAAACCTTTCTTTGGAAGTGGGCTGTGGTATTTCAAAGCACTGGACCATGAGGTCATTTGATCCACAAGGTCAATGGTTCAAACTCTCTAGCTGCTTCTTGGAAACCCTATACAGGGTTTCTATGAGTCAGAACTGACTCAATGGCACTTATCAACAATAACAACAACCTTTCATTAGTTACCAAGTGCCAAACCATTTACGCTTCTTAGGGACCCTAGTAAGAAGTCAAAGCAGTACCCAATCCTATGTTACATATAAAAAATAAGACTGTGGTCAGAGTGGATAGGAGATCATATATCAAATCATAGCAGGAGTCACAGAGGTTACTATCATCCTGTTTGAAAGCTGAATAATTATTTATCTTTCTACTTGCATTGGAGTCCTGGTGTGGAACTGCAGATGTGCACTGGACTGCAAGGTTGGTTTGAACTACAAGGTCAGTGGTTCAAACTCACCAGCTGCTCCTCAGAAACCCCATACAGGGTCACTGTGAGTCAAAACTGACTCAACAGCACTTAACAACATCAGCAACTTGCAATGATAATGATTGTGAAATAGTTTTAACTCTGAAAACCATATTAGTCAAATGCATTCTTTTATAATAAAAGTATTGTTTCCCCAATTTTCTTAACATACTTGATCTTCCTAGAAGCTTTTGATTTGGGTAGAGTATATATATATGACTTGCTGTTGTTGTTGTTAAGTTCCAACTCATAGAGACATTGTATGGGGTTTCCAATGTGGGTTCACAGTCCAGTGCTGATCCTACAGCATCACAGCAGGAGATAAAATATGTGACTAAAGAAAGTCAAAAGCCTATTTTATGCAACCTAATATTTTTTCCTCTTGACTCTTAATATAAGTCTAGGTAACAGAAGTTGAAAGAAGTTCTTTTATAATGTCTTCCTCTCTTCTTTCTAAGTCCCAAGAAATAATATCATGAATGCTGCCTATCTTTAAATATGGGCAAAGGCATTGAAATGGCAGGACAGCAGAGATGTGAACAATGCTGTGACCTCTCTCTGTCACCTTGGTCTATAGCTTTCCGACCTCAACTCAGACCTGCCTCATGTGCTGGTAACTTTCTGAATCAGATCTTACCTTTCAACATATATGATCTTGGTTTCATTGCACTCAATTGTTCATTTAGCAATATGTTCAAAAGTTGAGATCAACAATGTGATGAAATTGGGTTTGAGACTGGGTTATGCTGCTTTCTTTAAGTTTCTGCCTCTTCATCAGTGAAGTGCAATAATGACCATACACCTTAAAAGGACCTGTTAAGCTCCCATGTTGTAAGGATGGTAAGAGTTCATCTCACATATTTTGGAGATGTTGTGAGGACCAGTCCATGGAGAAGAACATCATGCTAGATGGACTGACACAATGGCTGCAATAATAATTCAAACATAACACTTGTGAGGATGGTCCAGGACTGGGTAGTGTTGTGTTCTATTATGTAGAGGTGATGGGAGTCAGAGCTGACTCAATTGTACCTAATAACATTACATTTAACATAAAAGGAGATCATTGTCATCATTCACTCACTTTCACCAGTACTGTGTTGGATGCTTAGGAGGACATCAAAGCACTGAAAGATGCTGCTTTGCCCTGCACTGCCCCCTGAGAACTGCTTGGGGGTATCCCAGAACCCTTCATACAGCAGACCCTCTGGCAGCTTGGGATTGTTTTTCCAACTAGGACAGGAAGGAAAAGGCAATAAGTCTTTGGATTAATTGTCAATATTTATATATCTAAATCTTGCAAATGACAAAGAATAGAAGGTGACATAGATTGGATAGATTTTGTGATTCTTATTCCATATCCATTCCTTCACATTATTTACATAAATGAGGATAAGTCATGAAAGTAGAAAGGCCAAACCAAAAGAGTTGTCAGCAATTATATTCATCTATGTGAACCCATCAGTTTTAGGTTAGTTCTGCTACATAGGTTTTTCACGGCTCTAAACTTTTGCAAGCATATCACCAGGCCTTTTTTCTGAAGCACCTCTGGCTGGATTTAATATCACCACCTTCTGTTAGTAACCCAGTTAGTAAATAATAACATAATTCCAAGCATAATTGGCACCAGCATTCTAAGAATGAAAGCTTCAATTTGCGACACCAAATCTGATTCTACTCTCTTTAAAAAGACTAGCTTTCTCACCTCCTGCAAATTCATTCTCAGACAAATCATAGCAGAACAAGTATTCTTTCTGTAAACATGTACTTTAAAATAATAATAATACTTTTTAGTCAAATTTAATGTTTATGGGGCCATCATTGCAAAATTGGTGTATTCTTTAATTGTTTAAGACAAAATAAATTCAAGCATAAGACTACATACCCAGACAAGTATATGCGAAGAACACCAAAAAATTCATTTGGATCAACATGATCTGTAAAAAGATGGAGTATGTTTAATTAAGTGACATCAGTTATAGTGAGTAACTCTACTATATAAATTGTAAGAAAATAAAATGTACTGTATTTCTGTACAGGCTTCAGGAAATGTATTAATTTGTGCAAAAGTAGAATTAGCAGAGAGCTCCTAACAAGCAGCAACTAAATTTCCCTGGTTAGTATTTATAGAACAAAGCCCCATAGGTAACACTGCCCTCTCCCAGGTGAGCCCCTTCATCATATATTTCCACAGAACGGGGTATCCAGACTGGTACCTAGGAGCCTGAGCTCACTCATCATCAGGAGACCCAATAGTTTAAACTCTCCACATTTCTTTAGTACAACTTCATGTGCTTATTGACACGAAAACTAATGACATACAGAACAAAATGTAACACACACACAAAAAAAAATAGCAACTCTATGGATCATGTCATTAGGTATTTTTCTTAAAGCTTGCTAATGCCTTTGATTTAGAAAACCATATCCTTGCCAAGGATGAATCAGCAACAATCCAAAGCAAGAAATGGTCACTTAGGGCTTAAGATTATTCAATAGGAACATTTTTCTTTTTAAATTCTGCTTATGTTTTTTGGGAAAGATTATGGTTCTTGTATTTTTAGTTGTTTGCGTTACATCTGATTTGATCTCAATGGTATTCTACGTTGCTTCTTAGTTTGTGAAAAAGCAGAATTAGCAGAGAGCTCCTAACAAGAAACAATTAAACATTTCAGCACTTTAAATAGCCATTACATTTGGCAAGTTTCCTATTTACTACCTAATGTTAGGTTATTTACTTATCTCCCTGGATTAAGATGGTCTTTTCTGTAAAATTAAAATAATAAAATCTAATACATAAAAGTATATTGATTGAGATAAAAGATGTCAAAGAAAGCACATAAAATGAATGTTGTTTTTTGCTCCCTTTTTCTCCAAACTCTACATTTCAGCTAAACAAAACATTTCAGTGCCAGGCTAGAGTGTTGTATTACATAGACTGTTGTTGTTGTTGTTAAGTGCCATAAAGTCCATCTGACTCATGGGAACTCTGTATTGGGTTTCTGAGAGCGGCTAGTAAGTTTGAACCACCAATCTTGTGATTCAAACCAACCTTGTAGTCCAGTGCATTATTCCATAGCATTACTCCATTTACTTACCATATACTTGATGAAAAGCATCACGGGCTTGGTGTAGACAAGAAGATATCACAAGCAGTGCTTCTTTTAACTTATCTATATTCTGCTCATGTATTGCTTGAAATATTGTGGGAATTTCCTTAATGGGGAGAAAAAAAAAGTAAACGCTTAAGATATCCTAGAGCTTAAACAATGGCATAGAATATATGACTTCCAAGCTTTAACTCTTAAAATGAATATGCAATTCTCACTTTCCTGGATAAGCATCCTTTGACCAATTGTCTCATGTCCTTGAATTTATATATGTTTGGATTTATCTATATTCACTTTCAATGTAGAGATAAGATTATATCATTTTTCTCTTGATTTTTGAGATATTTATATATTTGTAATAATAAAACCATTGAGTTTATACAACCATGTGTTATAATTCCAATGTCAAATTGCATGAAAAATGTATTATTTTCTTTTTGGAGCTTTAAATTTAATTCTCTCTATATATTTTGCACAGAATTTTTTTATTTTAGGTGATACACAAAAATGAATAATGCAGGTATTTCTATTAGATGGTAACCTGCCTCCAGTGAAATTATCAAAAGCTACATAAAATCAGGATAAATACAATTCATGCTTAGCTGTAAATTCAGTTATTAAATGATTGTTTTGCTCTGTGAATGAAGATCTAACTTTTCCTGTGTGGACAGACTTACTCTGATGGAAGAAGCAGCTGCCATTTCCACGAGTAGGGACACCAGGAAGAATCCTTTACTGCAATCCCCACCAGGAAAATGGAACAGAATGTCCATGTTCCTAAGAAGAAAGCAGTGCATTTAACAAAAATAATTGTATATAATTGTAGTGTATTTCATAGATTTCAAAATTTTTATTTCTCCTAGTTTGCTATACAGGGTCACTATGAGTCAGAACCGACTCGATGGCACTTAAGAACAACATATTTGCTATCAACATAATTTTATGAGCTAATTTGTTGTTGTTGTTTTTAGTTTTGCTATGTCCACTATGTAGCTCGGTATAAGAATACTTAGTTATGTTAGGTAGGTTGCCTAAGGTTATATAACTAATAGCAAGTTAAGCTAGGATTTGAAATTCCATTCTTCTGACTCAAAACATTATTTGCTTCCATGATTCCATGATTCCATTTTTTACATGCATGTGTGTATATATATATGGAGTCCTGGTGTGGTGCTGTGGGTTAATGCACCAGACTACAAAGCCGTTTGAACTGTAAGGTCTGCGGTTCAAACTCACCAGCTACTCCTTGGAAACCCTATACAGGGTCGCTATGGGTCAGAATCGACTCGACAGCACTTGACAACAACAACATATGTAGATACATATAATGTTTATAGAAATACCCGGTAGATGTGCATAGTTTTAAGAAGTCATCATTTTTTATAAATAAATAAATTGATTCATATTTATATTTTAATCTATGAACCTGTTTCAAATTTTTTTAAACTCTAGGTTTATTTGCTTTACAAAGAATTTGGTTAGTAAATTGAAATAACTGGTTAGACCCTATTTTTCTGTCATACTGATAATTGTGTTTTTGTCTATGAGTACTTTGGCTGTTAAGCTTGTTGTCTTCGAAGCCAGACTATGTGACCTTGAGCAAGCTATTTCATCTGTCTCTGCCTCAGTGTTCTCATCTGTACAATGAAACTGATGATATCATCCTCAAATTTTAATCCCTTCCATATCTTCCTGTGTATTTTAAAGTATATTTAAACTCCTCATTGTAAGCAATAATGTCCGACATAATCTGTTTTTGTTGTTGTTGTTGTTGGTTTTTTTGTAGACCTATTTCTTTTCATCATTCTTTGTATATCAGCCATATTAGCCATTCTTCATTTCTGATAATGGACCAAGTTTTTTGTCACTTCAAAGTTTCCACATTTGCTCTTTCCTCTACCAAGAAGAGTCTACAACTTTTCCTTCATCTAGTTATTTTCTAAGGAGTCCTGGCAGCACAACCCTTAAGTGTTGCTAACCTAAAAGGTTGCAGAAAAAAAAAAAAAACACACCTGACAATCTCTTATGTAAAGATTGCAACAAAGAAAACCATGTAGGAAAGTTCTATTCTGTCACATAGGATCAACATGAAACAGGATCCACTCAAAGGCACTTAATAACAAGAACAATAGCTAATTCCTACTCTCTCTTTATGGTTCAGCTTAAATAACATATTCCTCCTCCCCTCTTTATTTGATTAGAGTCCCAGTACTTGTTGTTGTATTAATTCTCTTCATAGTCACCATAATATAATTTATATAGTTTTTGTGTATAATATTTTTTGCTTATTTGTCCAGCTTCATGAGAGCAGGCTTTTCCAGTTTCTGGGAAGTAGATTCTACTCATGGCAATTCCATGCATACTAGAGTAGAACTGGGTTTTCAAAGGCTGATTTTTCATGAGTAGACCTCCAGACATTTCTTTCAAGGTTCCTCTGAGTGGAAACTTAAATCTCTATTCTTTTATTTAACAGTCTAGTATGTTAATGGTTTGCACCACTCAGGGACTTTAAGTGTGATGATCACTTTTGTTTCTAGCTCTTAATCTCTACTTTGGAGTCCTGATGTGGAGCTGTGGGTTAATGTGCTGGACTGCAAGGTCAGCTTGAGCCTCAAGGTCGGCAGTTCAAGCTCACTAGCCATTGCTTGGAAACTCTATATACAGTCACTATGAATAGGACCCAGCTCAAACGCATTTAACAACAACAATCTCTACTTTGACTCCTGATGTGGTGCTGTAGGATAAGCACTGGACTTCGAATCACAAGGTTGATGGTTGAAACCTACCAGTTTCTTCTCAGAAACCCTGTACAAGGTCACCACGAGTCAGAATTTACTCATGGGCACTTTACAACAACAACAACCTCTACTTAGTACATAGGTGAAAACTGGAATAAGCATTGGGTCAAAAAGAACATGGTTATACATTATGTCTTATGTGTCAATTACTTGTCGATGCAGGCAACTCATTCTGACCATAGATGTCAATAAGTCATAGAAACACAGATATATAAGCATTATATGTTTATGCATATTGAATACATGTATATTCATGCAGATAGTATATAGACCAACAGCTTTAACTTTAAACAGACAAAGTCAAATTACTGCCATTGTCAAATTACACTCAAGAACTGGGATTGCTTGTGCTTTAAACTGAATCCAATAGATCATTAAAATAAATCCGTTTGGGGGATTTGATAAAACTTCATTCACTGAATAATAATTTCTAGAGTAAAATAAGAAAAATATACTTACTCGTAAGTCATGGGTCTATGAAAGTAGCCAGGGTGAATGGGCCATTTGGAAGAAAGAGGAAAAGAGTTATAAATCAAATCGTTTTGAGTTATTGTTATGAGATTTAATATTGCCAATCTAGTAAATGTAAGACGTAAGTTAGAAAATTTTAAATGTGATTTTTATATTTCTCAAGTAGAAATTGCAAACATATAGGATTTTATAAGTGATATAAA